GATTTGCCAGATATCTATTCAGCATTCAAATGACCTCAATTGTCTCATGAATGATGGCAGTCCCCGCACTCCATTCCAAGCAAGGGCTGCACCGTGTAGCTGTTTGAATAATATCTAAGGCCTCTTATAATCCGTAATTTCTACAGCCTCCCCTCCCCAACTCCACCCACCTTCCAGTTTGTTTTTTGTCTTGTAGAATGTCCATATTCGGGATTTTTGCTGGTTGTATCACTGGGCTTTCGTTTTACATGTTTTCCTGACTTGATGTTTCTTGGAAATTGATTATTAACGCTTGGTCAGATTCATCAGTATGAAAGCAAGCCATATACCATATATCTCAATGTTTTTTTATTTTAAAAGAATGATACCAAGGTACTTAGTTTTATTATTTATATGTGTGTGTGTGTATATATATATGTATATATGTGTATATATGTGTATATGAAGACAATGCTGTTTAAAAATATGTAAGAGGTTTTCTTAAATTTGTCCAGTTTAGTCATCCAACTGACAAAACAAAACAATTAAAGTTATAAACTAAACTATGCCCACAGTCAGCTGGCTATTCTCACCCATGTCTCCCGCTTCTTGGAGCTGAAGAAGTCTCATGCTCCCTGGGACCAACCTTGATCGCTAAACACCCAGCTGGCCCCCGAATCTGCTGGGGAAGGGCAGGGTGGAATCAGGCAGCGGCCTGGGACTCCTGGCTGAGACTGGATTCACCTGCCCTTGTGTGCGGACTAACTCGCTGTAGCTCCTGGAGTGCGTCCAAAATTCAGCGTACTCACCTTACTCTTCCTTCTCCCCTGGTCTCTTTTACGTGCTCTCAAACAGCCCAGCACTGAGTTTATTTTTAGTTTCCTGTTTAAATTTAAAAATGTGTTCAAAATTTATATTCTGCTGCATACTTTTTTGGTATGTTTTAATATAAGCTATTTCAAGTCAACAAATTACCCCAAATATTCAAGTAAAATAGGTGTTCCTGAAGAGTGTACCCTGTGACCTGTGGCTCCAAGTACAGAGTAGGCTATGCTCAGAATTCCATCTGGAAAACAGCAGGGAAGGATGCTTTTTTGCTGAGTACTGGGAAGGACCTTGGCCTCTGGTCCTCTGTGAGGTCTGAAACTCCATTTGAAATGGTGTTCTTTAGGCTGTGTGTTCTCCTTGACAATGCAGGCTAGAAAAGGGAGCATAATAAATTATTCACACTTTAGCAGTGTCTAGTGATAGCTCAAGGAGAGCGTGCATTTCAATAAAGATAGTTGCACAATAACTGGGTAAAATCATAAAAAAAAATCATAAACAAAAATTGAGTGGTAGTTCTATATTTAAAGATGAGGAAACCAAAATAATTACCCATATGGCATGGGATTGGTTGATGAATGCCTGGGGCATCTGCACCTTGTTTATTTCTGGCTTAATGTCCTAGCATGTAAGAAGTACTAAATAAATGCTTGTTGAATGAACAACTGAGGAAGGTAGGATTTACATCTTAGACCACTGTGATTTCTGTTTGGGGGAATCAGAGGTTTTCCATGTTGTAGAGACAGATTTACAGAAACTCAAAGAGGATTCCTGGTCACGGTACCGCTCTTCTTCTTGGAAGCAGGAGTTGGAGTCTTGCCTTTACTGCATTTATCCATTCTGTGTCCTTTTCCTGTGGCTTCTCTCTTTTCAAGGTCTTCCATATTTCTTAATTTCTTCTGCTCTTCTCTGGCTCAGACTCTGGTGGTGTCCCTGTTGGAGAATTATACTAGACTTCTAGTTGGTCTTTCTGCTTTCAGATGCTTTCCCTCCAAGTGTTCCTGGCGGCTGTCTATAGGGTAGCACTACTGTGTTACTAACTCACACATCATACGCGACCCCTGCCCCCAAACCTTTAATGACGGCCGTGACCCATTGAATCCAGCTGAACTTCTCTCCTTGGTACTGAAAACCTTCCTGCTCTCATCTAACCTACCTTTTGGGGCTTCTCTACAAAGCCACAGACATAAAACCTTTTCTTGACAATGTTGTTGTTTTACAACATTTCTTCATGCCTGAGGAAATGGCATGAGAACAGTTCTTTCAATTGTGAAATTACCTTTGGCAGTTGATGGTAATCAGCTCAAGGATAGGGAATGTGTCTTGCACATCTTTGAGTTTATTCTCCAGCAGAGCAAAAAGCCCTGTGGAGGTGCCCCCCAGGGAACCCAGTGCCAGCTTCCCCATCGGGTCCTAGAGCAGGAGAACGCAGCATGAAGGGCTTGGATGTGGAGGGCTGTCCCTGATGCTGGGATACGGGGGCAGGGGATGTGAAAGGAGGGAAGGACGGAAAATGATGGGCAAGTAGGGCGATCTGGTGCTGAAGACACATTTCACTGTTTACACTCCCGGGAAGTGTTGGATCGCTGTGGGCAATCCCGATGTTCTCTGGCATGGTGCAACAGCAGGCTGACAGACTGGCATGTGACGAGAAAGAGACATACTGAGAAGGGTTCAGACTGATGTCAGGGAGAGGCCTCGGGTGAGTAGAAACCCTAATGAAAACTAGCACACAGGTCTGCAGGTTGAGAGCTGAGAGGAATAAACCAGGCTGACGACCAGCTTTCTCGGTTTGGAGACCGATGCCCTTTTAGGGTGAAGACTGGCTTTGCAGGGATTGCAGGCGGCTAAGGCCTCATCTATATGCAAAAACTGGTCTGAAAATTGTAATAAGCATTAAGTTAAGATACTTGAGTGTTTGAGGAAATTTGGCCATTGTTTTCATGTGTGGGTTGTGGGTGTGTGTGCTGCGGGTGTGTGTGTAGGAGGAGCAGAAAAATAGAAGACTATAGGTGACGCAAAGACTTCCTGTAGCTGCACAGCAAACAGCCTTGTGGAAGGGTCTGTTAACTCCAAAGCCAAAACCTGCGTCTAGAACAGCTCTGATTTCAAATGTTCTTTTAGCTCTTCTCCAAATAGCATTCATATTTATTATACTCTATGCTTTTATTTCCAGTGCCCCAAATATAGCCCTTTTCTATCAAAACACCGCTGTCATAGAATTTTCTTTTAATACAAATAGGACATTTCCCTTCACCTTCTCTTACTTCCCCTCTTCCACTTTGCCTTCTCATTTGCTTCCTGAGAACTTCCTTTAGCACTTTGCCAGGTTGGCCCTCAGAACCAAATTCAAAGTAAAGCTTTGTGAAGGAGCATGGGGCCCACAGGCATAACAATTCTTTTGTTTTTAGCTACAGGTTTTTCACTGCAGTAGTAAGAACCCTTGAAGCTGTAAGAATTAAAATTCCCTTCAGAAATTTTCATGTGTGGTAGAACAAAAGTCAGGAGACATCAAATGGTTGTCACTAACAATAGAACATATTCTAGTTCCAAATATTCTTTTCAAAGCAAATATGTACATTTGATACCTGCAAGTTTTGAATGTGCAAATATTGACTCAGTAGATGGATGAAACCAGGTTGAACAAACACTGTTTTTTTTTTGTGTGTGTATTGTTTTGTTTTCTTCAAGGGTTGGGCCTGTTATGATTCTAAGGTGACTGTGACTAAGGGTTATATAGTTTTCCTCCTCAACTAATGAATTTTCTGGAATGAAATCATTTCCTGCCCCTGTCTCCAGATTATTTAACGTCTGTGAAAAATGCTAAAAAAATGTTATCACGCTTGGTCCCCCTTTGGAAATTCATTTCATGGTTGAGGCTAAATACCTGGTCTCACCCCATCACTTCTTTAGTGACACCTGTTGATGACTTATATCAGGTCACGAGGGGATTTGGTGAGACTCTCCAAGCTGATTTTTAGTATTTTCATTTTAGAGACTGCTGAAAAAATCTGCCCTCTTATAAATAAAGAATTTTGAATGATGGAATATCAAAATGCTTTCAGAATTAATTCTGGAGATAAATATGTACATAAAATCCTAAACTGTGAAGCAGTATACTTACATAAAATCATAAACTTTAAGACAGAATACAAAATTAATTGTTCTTAAATATAAACAAAACAAAGCAAGGTGCTCATAGTTGAATCATTCACATCAAGTGGTAGTGCCAGGGAGTGCAATGCTTTAACAACACCTAAAGTTTCTATCGTTAAAGCAAAGAGGAGGCAAATAAATCATTAGACAACCTACTTGGCACATCATTTTCATAAAAGCCTGGAAAATCATCTTCAAAAAGTTTATTACATCAGAGGTGTTTTAAAATTTGTAATTTTAATCTACGATGTATCTGTTGCTGCTGGCCCTGGGCGCGGACACCGGCTACCAAGTTTCTTGAGATGCGCTGGAAATTACCCTGTCCCTGAGGGCGCTTGGCCACCCTGGCTCCCCTGGTTTTGGACGGTGCCTCCACGTGGCCCCTAATCCCTCTCTGCCGGGGGGAAGCTGTAGTTGAGGAAGGTGTTCCCCGAGGCCCCAATTCCCCGTTACCTCAGGGTTCTGGGGCCTCCTGTTGCAGGACATCATCTCCACTCGTCTGCTTCTGGGCACATCTTGGATTCAAACATGTAGTGATGCGATCTGTTTGAATTAATAGTTTTGAATCAAACCTTCCATGTGCAGGTGTAGAATTACATTAGAAAATCACACCTGCCTTCCGTGGTAAGCAGTACATGTGATATCAGCCCTGTTTGCAAAAATGAACATGGAGGCCCGGAGAGGGTAAGGAATTGGCCTGAGTTCTAACTTTAATCCTTATACTCCTTGATTTTGACGTTTATCTCTGATTGCCACTGTGAAGGTTTCACAGAGCTTGGAATTCCTGGCAATAATTCTGAAAATCAATTCCTAGAATATTATTATTATTATTTTATTTTATTTTTTTAGAGAATACAAAAAAAAGTTTATTGTACAAAAGTTTATTAAGGCCTTTACATTTCACTAGTAGACTAAAGAAAGACTAGGTAATTTTTAAAAACCTACACAAAAATTTAACTTTCACTTCCTCCCACCCAACTATTAAAATGGTCTGACCAAATGTTTTCAAAACAAACACTGTAAATAACACAAGTCCTTGAAAGACAACTATCCCAAGTGTTATTTCTTGGCATAGGTAATCTTCATGGCATGGGACGGCGTGATCTTAAATCTTTGTAAAGCATCCCTGGCGGCTCCAGCCTGCCCATCATTTTCAAATTCAACAAATGCAATGTCATGCCTCCCAGGTACCAAACGTACTTCCTTGAAACCAGGGGACTGATTAAACAACATGGATAACATCATCTCATTAGTCTCTTCTGGTAAATTATTAAGGAATAAAATATAGTTTGGAGGGTACTCAGGAACCTGAGGATTTGACGTTACATTTACTTGGGTATTAGCTGAATTTGGTGCTCCCTGACCTGGTTTCTTATTAGCAGTAATTGCTGCCTGTTCCACAATTTTGGCTTTTTTCTTTTCTTTGTCAGCAAAGGTGCCACTTATTTTAGATATTATATCAGAATCTGTTTTTGCATACTGGATTAGCATTGGTTTACCATAAAGTAGAAATCCTTGTAACTGTCTCAAGTCATTTGTGGATGAACCCAGTTCTTTAAATATAACAAAGGCTTGACCTGGGGGCATCTTCATGATCTTTAAAGGCACAATATCTACCACATGCCCAAATTGAGAAAACAGGGCATATAGGGATCTCTTCAGTTCTTCTTTTTTAATTTTGTCATTCATATTGTTGATATAAATTGTATGGTTTGTTCTGATATCCATCTTTTGGGTTAAACTGTTCAAATACCCTGAGGATGGCACGGTGCCCCTTCAATTCCTACAATATTATTTTTGAAGTAAGCTGGGGCTCTAGAAATTTTTAAGGTTAAAGAGAGGAATCAGTCCTTTTTGGAAATGACTCCCCTATGTGACGGCCCCATGTTGCCCCCTTATGGAGCTTTCTATATTTGCACAATTCTTTATCAAATTAAGATTTATAAGCATTAGCTTTTCTCAGGATAACATGTTCTCTTATCATTTTTTTGTATAATAAATCAGCTGTTACTGAAATTTTGACAAATTTAAGGAAAATGTGATTACGGGTAAATCTGCAGAAAACTGTGCGATTTCTAGTTATACGTCAGAGCCCTTTTCACCTACATCTTTGGAACTGATCATTTTGTACATGTTTTTAAATAATATATCTAACAAAATGGGGCGGAGGAGTCTTACTTTTATCTGAACTTGGGGGGTAATACAGTAGCTTCTTTTAAATTTCATCTTAGTGCAATGTTTGGACATTTGGTTAGTTTTTTTTTAAGCAGTTTGAATTCTGTCTCTGCCCCTCGCTAGCTAGCTGCATAACCTCAGGCATGACTACTAATTTTCTTGAGCCCAACTGTCTTCCTCTGTTAAAAAAAAAAAGAGGGGTGGAGGAAGGTGAAGAATAGTGTCATTTATGAAGCATTTGAAAAAATTCCTGGGGCAGAGTCTGCTTACAGAGGTAAAGGCAGCAGGTGGCGATCGTAGCAGGCGTAGGGACCCCTGGTCTTACTCGCCTGACTTATTGCTTGAGGAGATGTACTAAAGGAGCTCAAGGTCACTTCAAGCCCTGACCTCTCTGACCCTGTGGATGAAGGATAAAAGGGGAGGGAGGAAGCGCCGAGAGCAGTGTTTTCACCTTCTCCCCCCTGGGAGGGCCTTTCCCTCCCCACCGCACCTGAGAGGAGCAGGGATTTCTGTCAATTTGTCTTGTCAACCAAATGCAAATGATTCAGGAGGTTTTGGCTAGAAGTAAATGATAGAGGTTTATTCAAGGGCCTTAGGGGTTGCAAACTGGAAATAAAACTAGGCAATACCCAGACGTTCTGAAGAAGAAAGAAAAGTGAAGAGCTCTTACAGTGAGAAGTACACTCGTCAGAAGAGCCAGTCCTGCATTCTTAGTTTCTGGATTGGTGTGAGATAATAATCTTACAGATGTCTGATGTCTGGTGGTCTAGATATGAGAGGTATACAGATATAAATATAGATACAGATACATATCCAGTCATAACTGGATAGTTTAAAAGTTTAAGTTCCCAGACAAGTTAAAGCAAGAGTAGAATTGCTTCCTCATGCCTCGGTATCCTTGGTTTTGGTATTTTAACAGGGTGCCTATAGTGACTTTATTTTTCTTCACTCTTTCCTTAGCTGATAGGGGCTCCTGGTATGAGCCACAGTTTCTGAGCGCTTTGGGGAGTTGGAGGCACCGGGGGCCACTTCAGATACTAGACTCCAGCCGTGGTATTCACCCGGCCTGCCCCTAGGGCCACGCTCCCTGGGTCCTGTCGCTGGCTGGGGAGAGATGCAGCAGTTAACTGAGAGCAGGCAGGCAATCAGTTTGCAAGTGGGGCACTGATCGATGTCTAAGAAATGGACTGGGAGAAGGCACACTGACTGACGACAGGAAAATTCTGCCCTCTTGTCCCAGTCAGAAAGGGGAGAGAGCAGGGACTCAGGTGGAAAATGACAAAGGGTTAGTTGGTCAGTAGAGGGGATGAGGCCAGCGGGAAGGGCTCGGGAGCAATGAGAAAAGTTAGGATTCTGTCCTCTCGCAGAGGCCTGTCCCGTCCTTCCCAATGCATTACATCCCAAAGGAATGGCTCTCGGGTCCTTGGGAAAGACACCCTGAGTAGTAAGAGACACATGTAACATCTCAAAAAGGGAGGGGAAGGATTCACAGTTATACACCCTTTTTAGTAAATGCTCTAAAGAAGGGAGGTCGAGGCTGTCTTCAGGTGTTGGCTAGAAAAGTGGTGACTTTTTCTGGCAGGTGAGGTTTCTCAGGCAGACATTTTCACGGAGATCTGCGTTGCCCCAGGGACACAGCCTTGTGCTGCTAAAAGCCAGGCTAAAGTTTGGTGTCTCAGTGCAGATGTTTGCAGGGGGTTCTTGCCGTTCTCACTGTGAGGCCTTTTCCAACCAATAGGGCTGCTCATGAGTCTCTCTCTATCTGTCCTTTTTTTTTTTATTTAACATTTTTTTACCCTCACTTGAGGGCATTTTTTTTTCCATTGCTTTTAGAAAGAGAAGAAGGGGGGGAACACTGATGTGAGAGAGAAATATTGATTGGTTGCCTGCCCTACCCTCTCAGACGGGGGCTTGTATGCACCCCAACCAGGGATCAAACCCACAACCTCGATATGTGTCCTGACTGGGAATCAAACCCACAACTTTTCCACCATGGGATGATGCTCCAACCAACTGAGTTATACCAGCCAGGGCTCGATCTGTCATCTTTGATGGCCTTTGGAAACTGAAACGTTAATGGTTCATGAATATTTGGGAGTCTTCTATGTGTTGGGCATAGTTCGAGAATCAGGGAATCTTAGCATTGTTTGTATTGTTAACTAAGTCCTTTATCTGTGTCATTCTTACTTTAACTAAATAGATAATTTACTTTTTTGAGATGAAAAACACTGTCTTTTTGTCTTCCACCAGTTTTTAACTTAGTAGAGCCCAATTAATATCCAAGTGAGTTTATTCAATGTAACTGAGCAATACAGAGTAAAGAAAGTAAAGGAAAGTACTTTGGAACATAATTGGACTAATTTGGAAGTTAAGTGGAGAGGAAACAACAATGACATTATTGAAATTATAAAAGATTATTTTATTGGCCTTTTGACAGGAAGGAAAAACTAAAATACCCTACAACCTCCTATGTTTCTGAAATATTCATATTTGTCAGGGTGGGAGAGAATTCTATGTTTCTGAAACATTCTAAAAATATTCACTATTTGCTTTGTAAAATACATCGGGGCCCAGGGCAGGCCACTCTAAGATATCCCACAACGGCATATTGATTATTTGAATTAAAATTACTTGAGAAGCCGCCGCAGCAGGAGCAGGGCCGTGACCCTCCTGTCTCCCTAAGTGCAGGAGACCCCTGCCTGCCCCTGGGCTGACAGACTGCCCATCACGGGAGTGAAAAAAATCCAGAGTCGGCCCGTGTGAGCAAGCCTGGTGGCACCTTCACGAAGTCGCTACCTAAGGCCAAACCTGGCTCAGATTGCTTTCTAACAAGCACTAACTTCCTTTGTCCTCTCAATTTCTCACATAGTTTTTGTTTCTTTGTCTAAAAACTATAAAACGGTGCCTTGTTAGATCATTTCTTTGAATCTCATTTTATGATCTGAGCATTGTATGCTGATTCTCCTAGGTGCCTGCATTAAATTGGTTTTTCTCCTGTTGACCTAGTATTGTGTCAAGTTTATTATTTTTAGTTCAGCCATAAAAACTGAAGAAAGGCAGGGGAGATTTTCTTTCTCCTCAACAAGTACAAGGAAGGACGGAATCTCTGAGATATATCGTATAGATCAGTGGTCCCCAACCATTTTGGCACCAGGGACCGGGTTTGTGGAAGACAATATTTCCACAGAAGGGGTGGTGGGAGGTGGTTTTAGGATAATTCAAGTACATTACATTCAAGCTCACCTCCTGCTGGGTGGCCCAGGTTCTAACAGGCATAGACCGGTACTCGTCCGTGGCCCAGGGGTTGGGGACCTCTGGTATAGGGGAGACTAAAATGACACGTGTGTGTGTGTGTGACTTAACATTGCTGAAATAGTAAAAATATCTACTGATATAGCATTTATGTAAACCCTAAGAATAGGCACAAAAATTTATTTTTTCCAGACGCTAGGACTACTTTCAGATCTTGCCAGCTTGGCAGCAAATAGAAGGGTTGGTTCTTGGATGGCAGGTTCCGCTGGAGGGAGGCCAGGCCACACTTGGCTGAGCTGTAATGTTTTCATCTGAGGTGTGGCGTGAGGCTTTCACCACTGTCCCGCTCTCTACTCGCCAGCCACCCCCGCCACGTCCCCCGTTATTTTTAAAGGAAGGCCAAGGTTGGATGAGGGTCAGGGCTGGCGCAGAACTGAAAGGCATAAGGCTACTCACATACATTGTATCTAGAAGCCTTTTCCCCTGTGACATCCCCAACGCATTTCATATTTCAGTGATTCTCACCTGGGGTAACTTTGCCTCCAAGGGACATTTAGCAGCATCTGCAGACATTTTTTGATTGTCATAATTAAGAGATTTGCTACTGGCACCTGGTGGGCAGAGGACAGGGGTGCTGTTAAACATCTTATAATGCACAGGACAGTCCCTCACAACCAAGAGTCATCCAGTCCAAAATGTCAAGAGTGCCAAGGTTGAGAAACTCCAATCTATATATTTGTGTGTGAACTAGCACTTCATTATGCATTGGCATCACTTGGAAGTTTGGGAGAAATGCATTTCCAAGAGACTCCTCTGGAGATTTTTAGGCATGCTCGATTTTGAGAGGCATAACTAGTGTTTTCTGAGAACTAGAAAGGGCAAGACAATGTGATAAGTGCTTCTGGGTAACTAAGTCAAGAGATGTAGTCCTGGCCTTTCCTAGGTAATGTCTTTAAATGCACAAAAACTCACTTCTCTATTTTTGTTTTTCACTTTCATTGAAGCATCTTTCATTTGCTTCTTTGCTTCCATTTCTCCCCCCACCCCTTTTCTTCTAGGTACTCTGCTTTATCAAAGCAATATCAACTTGTCTTCCTCTCATGCATGTGCATTGCTTTCTCTAGGTCTTTAATTTTGAGCCAACCTTGATAGAAAAACAAAACAAATAAAACAGAAAACAAAACCCCACGCAAACCAAACACTTATCTCTTTAATTAAAGGAAATGGTTCTAGGGGGAAAAGTAGAAGAATCTGGAATGACAGCCATACTTTCTGAAACCTGATATAATGCAATTAAATTCACCCCTTCTGCACTGAGCCTTCTGTGTTGAG